GGCGTTTCGGCGGGTACACCGGCTTCCACGAGTGTGATGCTTATTTTGAGCGATAGATAGAATATAATTTTACTTTTATATTTCAATATCACAATAATCTTCCAATTTAGAACTACAAGTTAAAAAAGAACTAATATAAATAAAATACACTTGAGCTAAATACTTCTAATTTATTTTCCCAGCCGCACTATAAGGACTAAAGAGCTGCATGCAGCCCCGGAGCTGCAGCTTGCCGACCCCTGGTCTAAGGTATTTCACACACGGCCAAAACCTAAATCCATTTCCTTCCTGCAACATCTGTTCTGGTGCCCTTCTCTTATAATGCATGTCACTGAATATGTTTCTGGGTCCTCTGTCTGCACCCAGAACAAGTCCTGCAGCCACCCTGCTAAGGAACAAGGAGTAAAATAAATATCTTACCAATCGCAACAGCATCCTAGTATCCGCCTACCGTCCTGGCCTGTCCACTCAATTTGTACCGATCCATGCTGAATCAAAGAAACTGTCTTCTAATTACATTAGACCATTTGAAATTAAAATGGACTTTCTACAGCCATGTTTCTTTGAACTTAAAAAACCCAAACTTTGTTACAAAACAAAACTTCCGGAAAGACATCTACTGTAATGAAATGTATTTCCCAGTGGTGTAAAGAGACATTATTATTATTGCCATTATTATTATTATTATTAATAAACATTATGAAAAAATGTTTGTGTACCTACTTCTGTGGGTTCTTTGAACTTTTTAAAAAAACAAACTTTGTTACAAAACTTCCAGAAAGACGTCTACTGTAATGAAATTTATTTCCCAGTGGTGTGAAGAGACATTATTATTATTGTCATCATCATCATTATTATTATTATTATTAATAAACATGAAAAAATAGTCAGACAAAAAGATTTTCAGGCAGTACTGTTAAATGATTTGTTTCAATGCTATATTTCACGGCCCTTTACATGTTGTAACAATGTTTTATCTTTGATATTGTCATATTTTATTTGCACATTATTTTGCTTTTTAACAATTCAATTTGTGATTTTCCATTTAATCTTTTTTTTCTTTTTTCTGTTTTTGATCATGTGGCCGTCACTCAGAGTGGACAGAGGTGGAAAAAATATTAAAAAATCATTCCAGAAATGTGTGTGTTTTACATTTAATTAGGAACATTTTTAGATATTCTTTCTGAAAACTTGAGTTTTAGTTTTGTAAAACACAGTTAATTTGCTGACAGCGTCACTTTAAGCACTTACACATTTATATTTCATCTACTAGCGCAATGACAGAAACGCATGAAACAAACAGCAATTAAAAAACAAACAAAGAAAGTAATTAAAAACAAAAAGTGCCTGATCTTATGTAGATGACCAAATAAGCCCCATAGCTCAGACAGTAGGGCCGGCTTTAGCCATTTTCATTTTAGTCCAGATTAAGATTTGGACAGATAGCCTACTCGGTATGGGAACTGATAAGAGTTTAGGATTCAGATTCCATTATTGATCACTTATCACTTCAATACCTTATCGATTCTCTTATCGATTCTCACTTAGTTCTGAAGGAGTCAGAGTCACCATCACCACTAAGCAGGATATCAAAGACATTACATTTGTGTTAAGTGCATGCTGTGTGGGAAAATGTTTGTACATGTTTAAGGCATTTCTCCTTTCGTGAGATAAAAAAAGTATCACACATCCACAGAGAACTTTCCTTAAAAGAAATCTGTATATTTCTTAATTACTCTCAGGAGAAATGATTTCATTACGCTACTAATTGCATTACTTTTTTGTTTCTCTGCAAAAAGAACTGAAATGCATTGTCTCATAATGACCAGTTAAAAATATAAAGGCTACAGTCCCATACACCAGCATAAATCCCTATCCTAATTAGGATACACATATAATCTTTCGCTCAGTATTCAGGTACGAACACAAAGCTGACGGCACAAAGCAAAGATGAAAATCAGCACAAAGAGACTTTAAAGCAATGACCACAGTGACTCTACTATAAAGACATAAACAGGTAGAAACGGAGGTCGAAGCCTGATTGCTCATCCGATTGTTACCTGTTGAAGTTCAGGATGTTGCTGTTGAGCTGGGGTCAGCATTCACATAGCTTTAACATCACTCTGGGTTCTTGGCTAGCTTAGCAAAGAACCAAAGTTGTGTTAGCAGCATAATGCAGTTGTCTCTGCTATGGATGCAGTTTCCGCTTTACCATCGCACTCTAGCTATTTTGTGCAAAACAAAACAAAAAGTATTGTCCATATCCATGATGTAGACCACACTGCTATTTCCCTTCTCCAAAATCACAAACAGAACTCAACTGATTGAAGCCCAACAAGTGGAACCGATAAGTGGAATCGATAGGGAAGCAGACTAACAGTTCAGAGGAACTATCAAGAACGTGTTCTTGATTCCCATCCCTACAGCCGGCCAGCTGTCATTATATTTTTTCTCGTTTTGCTCTCCAAATCACCCAGTCACTGACAAAAACAGCCTTTTTGTTTCTACCTAACGACTGCTGCCTGCTAATAGCTTTTGTAACCAGTAGATATGATTAGATCAGCTTGCTAGCTGAACTTTGGCTCATGATCTGGTTGAGCTAGTCTAAGGTTGATTAGTTTGTAAATATGTAAAAAAGTGCATTTCATGTACATGGAAATATTAAAGATCCGTTATTCTTGCATTGAGGTCTTCTTAGTTAATCCTGGGATTATATTAAAATAACAGAATGGTAATTGCAAGTGAAATGCTGGACTTCCAACATGATCAAAAAAGCACTTTTAAAGCATCTTCTGTTCTCTTCGCTTATTTATTACAAATAATAAATATCTTGTGTTCCACTCTTCCTTCACTCATGAAGAAGAAGAAGACTCCAACATATGTCTCCCTACACTCTCACTTATACTTCTGATCATATCTAAAGTTGCTTTTCTTTTTTTTAACATTTTGAATGTGTAGCCACTTTGCACTTCTGTTATGACTGAATGACATCAGAGAGCACAGAGCTTGCGTCACAAGCTTGGGTCATGCTGGCACTGCATGATGAAGCTGAAATCAAAACGTTGAACAGAACTAGACAGTGACTGTCTCATGTTTGCTGGTAAATGCTACTAAACAAACAGTATAGTTACCATGTGTAAGGCCAAAATCCCCGTGAGCATCTGTCAGCTGCTTGAGATGCTCGTTGATGGAGATCTGTGAGAGGGGAGAAAAACACATTAACAAACGTGTATATTTTTTTAGCCATGTGTTCTACTATTAAAATCTCTATGAATCAACATCATTAATAATGTAATTTTAAATCAACTTAACCTCATCAGTTTAACCAGCTAATACCAGTGGTGACATGCAGAAAACCAATGTTAAGTTAGATTTTGTGTTAGGCTAGCCCCAGACTTAACCCTTTGATCAGTTCCCACAACAGCTAATAGACATAAATTAGTTGCTGCAAAGAGCTAGGGCACGTATGGATCGTCCTACTCTGGATTAGGCCCCTGCTTCATTTATGTGGAAGAGTAAAACTAAACACATGATATTGCTGTCAGTATTTTCCAGTCACAGATAAAATCTGGGGAACAGCCAATAAATGTAATTTAAGCTTTAGCTTGGATTACTTGTGGCTTTCTTTCTACTGCTTTGAGTTGATTTTTTTTTACTTTTAGGTGTTTAGTTATAGACTAGTGTTTGTGGGTATATATAGTTATAATGTGCATGCTAGTTTTATAGAATAATACAGCCCCGTTTAAAAGTTTAAGACCACCTGAAAAATAGCAAAAAATCATATTTTGCTTGGTTGGATCTTAACAAGGTTCCAAGTAGAGCTTCATCATGCAACAAGAAGAAATGTGAGTGAGACAAACATTTTTTGAGCAATTTCTTGAAAACAACACTTAAACTGAAACAGGCTGCACCTCAAAAACAAAAACAAAACATAAACCTCCCCAAAACAGAAATCAAAGCTCCAAACATGAACTCAGTGATGAGTCGCTCCACCGTTATTGTTGATCACTTTAAAAATTCACTGCAGAATTCTTGATGCAAGCCTTTTCCATGAGGTGAGTGGGAACATTTCTCCAAGTGGTGAAGACGGCTACATGAAGGACATCTTCTGTCTGTAACTGTTGTCCATTTTTATAAACTTCCCTCACCATCCATCCCCAAAGGCTCTCAGTTGGATTTAGATCAGGGGAACACGCAGGATGGTCCAAAATACTGATGTTATTCTCCTGGAAGAAGTCCCTTGTTCTGTGGGCATTGTGTGCTGTAGCATTCTCCTTTTGAAAACCCCAGTGGTGACCACACAGACAAGGGCAGTCAGTCATGAGGGATGCTCTCTGCAACATCTGGGCATAGCCAGCGCCCATTTGATGCTCCTCCACCTCCTGAAGCTCCGTTGTTCCACTGAAGGAAAAAGCACCCCAGACCGTTATGGCGCCCCCTCCACTGTGGCGTGTAGAAAACATCTCAGGTGGGTTCAGGTTACATTTTTTCTCATGAGAGATTAAAACGGTTTTTCCACCTTTCAGTGGGCCATGTTTGGTCTTCTCTTCCAAAGTCCAAACAGTCAGTTCTGTGGTGTTCAGTGACACGAGGTTTTGTGTTTTTGAAGCCCTTCAGTCTCCATTGACTGAAGGGCTTATAAGTCCATGCAATGGAGTCTCCATAAGACTCCATTGCAGAAGCTTAGATAATAAAACTGGCTGAGGTGCTTGGTTTAAACAGCATTGCAATATCTGTAGATATAATGTAGCTCCATATGTGTTGTCATAACCAGGACTGTTCTTGATTTATGGCAGCTTCATGGCCCTGAGCCTTAACCGGAGTCCATGCGTCCTTCACCACCAGAGCCTGAGGGTCCCGTGCCACCTGAACCTGAGCCCATGCGTCCTTCGCTGGCTATGTGTGAGTTTAAGTCATAGTCCAAGAATTCCACACTGCCAGAGTCCAAGGGTCCAGTGCCACCCAATCCTGATGGTCTCTGTCTCCACTGCTGGTCGCCTGCTGAGGGTCACATCTACTTTGTCACCAGCCTCCAGAGACATCCCATCACCCCCACCGACACTAGTCTCCAGCCAAGCCACAAGACGGTTCTTGCCACTGATAACCGAGTTGTCCAATCAGCGCTGACATTATCAGACTGGCAATGCATCCAGAGGGTCCTTGCCACCATGCCACCCAAGGGCCTTTGTCACCATCATCAGCCATGCCACGAGAGGGTCTTCACTGCCATCACCAGTCCCCAGCCAAACCACTGAAGGGTCTCTGCCACTGACCACAAAATTGTCTTGTCTCCACCACTGGCCACCAGGCCAATCCCCAGTGTTACCCTGGTGACAATGGAGTAATCGACATCCCGCTGATGACAGTGAGGAAGACACTCTTAAGGCTGTTAACAGCAGTGACGAAGGAAACACTTTTGAGGTCGACTTGTGAGAAAGTCAGGACACCCTTGGTGGGTGGTGATTCTGCTTCTGGCGGTGTTGAGATCACATGCTTGGTACAATACTCTTCAGATGGTGGAGATTGGCACTGTTACTATTTCAACGTAGGATACACGAGGGCTCAGAGTTGGCACAAAGAAGAATCACTTTCACTCACCATTCAGGTGACGTCTAGAAACTGGGCTTAATAGATATGGCTGAAGAAACAGGCTTGAGCTGCAGCCCAGTCTGGGCAGAGTGAACTGATTGGATTGAAACCAAACTTTCGCCAAGTGTGACATGAATAACTTCAGCTTATTATACTCAGGTTAGTATAGTAGTGATATATAATACTTTCCTTAAAATATAATACATTTTTGGTTCAAATTTAAAAGTGAGATCACTGGTCAAATGTGACTTGATATTTGGATACAAACTATCATTTGATATTTGCAATATTTGTTGTGGCGTGAGTGTATCTCATTTTTATTGCTTCTACATTTGTGTAAGTATGTGTATGTGTGCATTTGTGTTTACCTGGAGCAAGCTCCAGCGTGTATTCAGATCTTCGATGCGTTCCAGGTTCCTGGATGATAACTGGATATCAGGCAGATTGAAAGTGGATGCTAATTCGTTCACATGCGTCACATCGTCCTTAATCTGTGCAATGTCTTCCTGAAACTCCTGCAACATAAGCACATACGACATATATACATTGAAATAAACACACCAAAACCTTTACATGTAACAGTGAGAAACGAATGCATCTGTCACATAAAACCCAGTTTGTTGATTCTTTAATGTAGGACATGGAAATCGACGATGGACTCAGGTAACATGAATGGTTGATAGAAATAATGTGGAGGACATTTTCTAGCAGTAACTCACCTCTGACTTACTTTGCCAGATATTTGTTATAGTTATATCTGCTATAGTTTCCTCAATGCAATCTGGACTTGACCTAGGTGAGAGGTATCAGGCAGGTGGTAAACTAATGCATCTGTCACGTAAACCTAGTTTGCTACTAGTTTAAAGCAGGGAATGGAAAGGACTGATAGACAAAGAGTTGACAGATTCCATTTATACAATTTAAGCTGGGCACCTTTCTGGAGGTGAAGGTGAGTGATCTAGAATGTGAGATTGAGGGTTGAGCAGGGTTCTGATGGAGGTTGGGGACACGGAGTCTTAATGAAAACTGTTCTGCACCTCCACTGCATGGCTCCCCACAGCTGGGGCCACATCTCCATGTCATGGGGGTATCTCCAAACCAGATGATGGACACTTGAAGTGAAAGGAGCAGTCAAACTGAAGATGGAGTCCTACTGGGCTTGCTTAGCCAATGGAACTATGGAGGCAGATGGCAGGTACTGGCAGGCCAAACTGAATGCAGCTTTTTAGTCAGCCTCAAAGCAATTCTGGCAAACTGTTAGGCGACTCAGGGAAAGTGAGCAGTACTCTACTCACACTGTGTACAGTGGGGATGGGGCGCTGGTGACCTCAGTGCTGGTTGGGTATTGGAAGGAATATTTCAAAGATCCATATAGGAAGCTGAATTTGGGAATAAGGGGAAAGACTCCTACTCTCATCCATTGTTATGAGCTCTGCACTCTTGAAAGGGTGAGGAGTTGAGTCATTTGGAAGAGACAGAGTGGAGCTCAACAATGCAAGGAGTCATTTGAGGTGGTTTCGGGTATCTGACCCAATGATAAGGTGTTACAGGCGTGTCCTACTGGAAGGAGGTTCTCTGGCATGCTTCAGGCTGAACTGGGAACATGATGAACAACATCTGTCTCTATTTTCCTGGATGAGCTGAACAAGGTGAGAGGCCGGCATGGCCTTCTCTGCTTAAACTGCTGTCCTCATTGTCCAGCCACAGATAAGCGTTGGAAAATGAATGGATGGCTGGAGCTTTTAATTATTTTTCTAAGCTAAACTCATATAAAAACGAGATCTTGATCTTCCTTTCCAAAGTCAGTAAAGATTCAAGGCGATTTAAGTCAGGAGGATATCAATAATTATCTCTACAGTAAGTCCCGGATGAGCCTACTTTACAAATCAAGCAAAATGTATAAAAAGTCAAACCAAAAGTGCTTAATGCCGATCAATTAGAATGATTAACAAGAGCAAAAATGGAAAAAATACTCATAATAGGGTTATGTTCATGATTAACACTAATTGAAACCATCAGAGGGTAATGTAGAAGGAAATAGCTGAAGCTTGGATCTCAGAAGGTGTAACAAGCACTCCCAACCTCATTACATCTCTTCCCGTTATCTCATTTAAGAAAACTGTTGGCTTGTTTTATTAATGTTTATACTGTCTGTGGGTATGAAACAGAATAGAGTCACTGATTCTCACCTTGACTCTGTCGATGTGGTCTGGTAGCAAGTCAATCAGGAGGTCTTCTACAGGTTCCCACGCATCCTTTACCATTTCTGCCTGGCTCAGCTTTCCATCCAGCAGGTCCTCTGCCTTCTCCAGCTCCATCAGTTGGTCAAGGGCCAGCTCTAATCTCCTCTGCCAGTCATCCGAGTCAGCGTTGAGCTGGTCCCATTTGTTCATCATATCGTCCGCCTCTTTACGCAGGATTCGCCCCACGTTGTGTGCGCGCTCCTCTGGGCTGATATCTGAAGGTTACGTAAAGAATAAATGCAGAAAAAAATAAGCAAATTTCACACCATGCAGTAATCTAAAAGGCCTTCGGTCTCTGAGCGTATGGTAGGGCTACTATTTCAAAATTGATATACTCTAACAATGTCAACTGCCTGGAGTTACTTATGGCTGAGTCCACTAGAGCAGCGGTCCCCAACCCCCGGGCCTCGGACCGGTACCGGGCCGTGAGTTGTTTGGTGTGAAATGTTTGGTTTTCAGGGTTTTTATCGGTTTTCAGCGTTATTTTGTTATCGTTTTTATCGTTAACTCAGTTTTCCTGGGTCTTTTCACGTGTGTTATGAATAAATAAAATTTTTTCGGTACCGGTACTAGTTTTATTTTGTTGTATTTATCTGCGACACCTTAAAGACCGGTCCGTGGTGCAAAAAAGGTTGGGAGTACAAATACTAGCGCAACTGTTATGGTAGCTTTTATAGTAGCAAAACAATTTCAATGCACATATGTTTCAGTCTGTGTGGGGAGTTGTGCATGTGCACCGAGTTGTTTCTGCTTATTCAAATCTGTGTGTGTGTGTAATAAGATTTGCAAATTTGTATCCAGAAAGCTGCTGTCATCAGATTTGTGAACGTGTAAATAAATGATATATATTAATGACTCGTAAGTCTTTGTTGTGAGTCATTATAAGACAAAACGATGTGACTTTTGCTAAACTTCTAACATGACAGATTCGTGATCAATCGGTGATTTGAATGTGTGCAGAGAGTTATCTGTAAGTTCGGGTTCATTAACCCTGAGCCCAGGACCACAGGCTCAGCCGTCTCTCTCACTCTGCACAAACCGCCAGGTTGGTTTTTACGGTCTTCGCGGGTTGTGCCATACAAGACGGGGTCAGACGCACAGACCACAATGGATTCATCAGAAATCCAGCGTGAGTCACTGCAGGGTTTGATATTCAACTAGAAGCCAGAGTAAAATCCCTGAAACCAACAGTACAACCATAACGTGGGACATTCAAGACAACTTGAATTAGCTTTGAGCCTGAACAGCATCAAATAGCCAAAATAAGAGAACAAATGGCAACAGTAAAATACATATATGTGCAATTTAGGTTATAGTGATTCCCTCTATCTAGTTATCAGACTACATATATTTAGAGTCTAGATGTAGCAGGAAGATGTTCAGATTTGCTTAATGTAAGAATGGTCACAGTCTTATGTTTACAGGAATTATGAATAAGCAGAGTAAACGTGTCTTCCAGGCCCAGTCGGTCAACTCAAAGCAGATAAGGAGATGATTAAGACATTTCTCAGGTGAAAACTACACCACAATAATAATGTGTTACAACTAAGAGTCTGGCAGTCACAGCACTACACATAAATATGCAGTTTTTAAAAAGTTATATAAGTACTTTAAATACTTAAACTGCCATGTGGACTTTTGACAGGTAGAATTAAATATATTGTAAAATATGACCCTTGTTATTAGAAATATTGGCTTAATCTTTATCTGTTCCACAACTCTTCCAGGTTGTTTTCAAACTGACCACATCTGTCACGCAGATATTCCACATGGATAGCCTGCAAGCTAGCTATGGCCATGAAGAGCTACAAGCTACCAGGCTGGGTATGAAAACAGACCTGAGAAGTGATGCGTTCTCCACAGATCTTACATGTTTCACAAAAGATATTTAACACCATCAAACACTTAAAGAGCCAGACAATCAGAGTGGGCAGAAAGGAGAGTGGCAGAGGTGGAGGAAGATGTTCTGCTTCAAGCTATTCAAGCTCAAAGCAGAAACTGACAGAGCTGAAAGCCCGATCACGTGGAGACAATATTCGTGTATACGTATTGCCGAAGACACTGAACGGAACAACCTGACGTGGTTTTAGAAACTTTTATTAAATGGGAGTTTTCTTTAAGTGACAGATGTCACAGAGTTCGTGGTCCAAAGCCCCGCAGAAACCAGTAATTTACTTTCTGCAGCGCAGTGTTAAAGAACTGCTGCTCTGAAAGTTTTTTCTGAGAGGAGGGAGAATTTACTTTGACCAGGACTAACCCCACTGACACTCAGCAGGAAAGAAAGGCCACTTTCAGACCCCCCAGCAGCAAAACTCAGTGACGGCACCGTAACTTACAACAGCGCAACAGAAGTTTGGAAGATGTGAAGAAGAGGAAGGTCCTGAGCTTTACAGGAGAAGACACCCGATCCACGTAATCAACACAGGAGAAGCAGAAGAGCTTTTCCCTGAAGACAGCGAGGACACACCGGAGCTCTCTCTTCATGTGTCACTAAAGGCAACTCACCTGCAACATGTCTCTGAGCAACACTCAGCTGGCAGCCACATATTTGTATTCGCTTGTATTTCTTAGTGGGACTGTAGCATTAGGCTGATTCCACACATTCACAGTCGCTGTGTGAGATAAAGCTGATTCCCAATCCTCTGCTGAGATTTCACTTTCCAAATCTTCATTCAGTGCATTTTAGCTTCTGATCTGATTAACAGGATGTAAGTTGATCAGAAAATTCTGATGTGATGCTTAATCAGTCGTTCTGTGAGCAGGTGTTTGTCCAATAAGTGGATTACACTCTGCTGCCATAAGTATAAGCTCCTTTACTTTCATAAACATATGAACTTGAGCGCCATCTCATGCTTAATCCACAGGGTTTAAAACGATGTGAGCCCACTCTTTGCAGCTACAGCAGCTTCAACTCTTCTGTGTGGGATTTCCACAAGTGAGAAATGACACTGCAAACCTAAAGCCCTCAAAACATAATTTTGAAATGCTGAATAAGCATTAATGTTGTGATGCACGGAAGAACAACAGAAACCATTTTGGTATCAACACATTCAGCTTTTTGTGGACAAGTATCCTATTACTTCTGTTTTCTTTCACTTTTGTATGTTTTAAAATGTTTGTTTGTTTGTTTTACACTGAAATGAATGGTGAACGCTTAAAATCCTCATCAAAGTCACTCAACATTGAAAGTTAACTAGTTCAGATTACTTTAACCTGCTAGGACCTGCGTCCACATATGTGGACGTCACATTTTGGGTTATTTAGACCAAAATACTCAATTTTGCTCTACAAGGGCCTGATATGCACTTACGAGGATGTTATACTGCTACTGTTCTATCGAAATGTTAAACAAATATCCTCATATGTGGCTCTCATTTTTCTTAGAAACAAAAATCAGGTAAAAAAATTAATCTGGTCATTCTTTGCTTTTACATTCATCGGGTCCAAATCAGCCCAAATATCAAAGAGAAATCAAAAATGCTGCCGTGGAAGAGTTCGGGTCTTAGGAGGTTAAGCTAGAGAAATAAAAATCTAACTTTAAACTGGGCCCAACACATCCAGCGAAGTATGTTTTCATACAGTTACAGTTGATTCAGCTCACTCTGGCATCTCACCCTTTTCAGCCTGCCCACACCTGCGCCTGGAGACTGTGTCAAACCACCGATATTATTGGAATGATTATTGCTCTAATCTCTACCTGCTTAATTACATTTCAGCTCCCAGTTTTTCAGTTTATAACTTCAAATAACTTTTAGACACTTTCAGACTCTGATTTTTCATAATTCAGAACATTTTGATAGTTTTATTGAACCATGTTATTCTTATATTGCCATGTTTTCATCTCTTTATTACATGTTGGTTGAGTTCATTAACCTTATGTTGAAGTAATCCCCTTCACCCTCATGCAGGCAAACTCAAGGACTTCTACACTGTGATGATCTTCAGCTCCAGTTTTGTTTTTTATAAAATGCCATTCATATTTAGGTTATTTAGTTTATTTAGAGAAATATTCTGTATGCTATATTTAGTCCAATCTAGTTTTGGTTCTGCTCCCAAAAAGGCTGATTCTGTTCATCTGGATGTTTTCAGTGGGAGAAACATTTCATCATCATCAGGTGACGTCTTCAGTCTCAGCTGACTGCAGGTTTCAATCTTACATCAATGACTGAAACCAGCCCACTGAAGGAACAATGGTCAGTTCCTTGATGATTGATATGCAAATTCTCACGACCATTAATCAACAACCACTGATCAATGGCCATGAGTCCCATTGACAGAGAGTTGGGGAATGGCTGCAATCACAGCATGTAAGATGGTGACAGACATCTCAGAAGCCTTGAATCAACCTTTTGGGATTTACTTACCTGGATATTTGAGCGTGCATCGAGACCTTTTGCTTTTTACGCTTAGCTAGCTGATATTGTTGAACTCTAACGTCACTGAGCTGGTTCAGCGAGGTCACCTTTGGATATTTCAAACATGTTTTGGTATTGAAGGAAACATCTTCAGCATTTTTGACAGGTAATGCTGTTTTTCTAGTTAAATATGTTTTTGATTTGTTTTGCCTATCATAATCTGTTCAGTGTACTTTTTCACATTAATTTAATTTAATAATTAAAGTAATGAATATAATTTAATGTGCCAAACAAGACTGTGGAGACAGAGGATTGTGTTTTAGAAAACCATAGTGAAATTTCATACATATAACCATGGAACTGCTTGCTTTTTAGATGTCCCTAACCACTGCCTGATACAAGATCAAATAGCTGAGATAAAATAACAGGAGGAAGGATGAGAGGAAGTCCCGTGATTAGCAGCTGAAATTCTTGCAGTTCACCAGGGCGCGATATCTTTCAGCTGAAGACACACAGTAACCAGATTGCTGCCATGGTGCAGAATTGTTGCAGAATAGTGTCTGTTTGTCTTTACGAGCAGTTGTTACAATGCTGTTAATAACTAACAAACTACTTCCACATTTAAAAGTTAAAAGGTTGCTGTCATATAATGTGTCTTTAGTACAATAGCCTCACATTCAAAACCCTACAAAGCACCAATGTTCCCTCTAAGCTGCGCGTGAGCAGCTGTGCACTGCTGGCACGTCTCTGCGCACAAAAAAAAATCAAACCTGAATTGAAATTAAAATGAAAACTTTAACAATCCTGTTTTGCAGTGTTAGTCAGTGACTGGCTGCTCCTGTATGGGATCAGAACGATGCCACCTTATCCCAAAGTCCAGCCAATGATGTGATTCACATTCGTATAAACGCAGCTAATCCACGTCGTTGACAGGCTGTGACAGCGTCCTTATGTGCGACACCGGTGTTTTAGCAAAGCGGCTGATGTGGAGTGAAG